CCAAGGGTGCTGGCGGGTGCGTTGCCGGGGTCCAGGGGGGGCGGCAGTGGTCCCCCAGAGCCCCCCCCTGACCCCGCTGAAATGCAACCAGCTCTGGGGTGGTGCCAGGCCTGGTCCCAGGGTCCTCGCACAAGCATTTGGGAGGGGAAGTGGAGACCCCCGCATGTGCCCCCGTCTCACCTGGGGGGTCCAGGCCTGCCTGCTTCTCTGGGGGCGGGGTTGGGCGGTCTAGGGCAGGCCCTCCCCTGGGGCTCAGTCTGTGCTGTATGGACTGGGAGGGTGACCCCTGCCTCAGGGGCGGAGCCTATGAGAGAGTCCCGCCCCCAGGGCATGTGGCTGCTGACCCAGATTGGCTGGAGCTGCCAGGCTTGTGGGGTGGGTGCAGGGTAGGGCCCCGTCCCAGGCCGCTCCCCGTGGTCCATATAGCACTGACTCAGCCCGGGCCAGGGGCCAGTTTCCAGGGGGCAGGTTGTGCCCAGGGGAGAGCCTGGGGGACCCTTGTGCTCCAGGCTTGGGGGGCATGGGTAGTTCATTGCTGGGGGGCTCTGCCCACAGGCCTGGGGGGGCCTGCACAGGACAGGGGTCTGGGGTGGGGGGAGGGTGCATCTACTTACCCCCTTTTGTCCCCCCCAGGGGTTCCCGGCGCCCGGCTGTGCTGAGCTCTGCTCCCCGGCGCCTCTGGCTGCAGCTTCTTCCATGGGCTCCCCAGGTGGGTACCGTACCCCCTGCAAGCGTGATGCCATCGGGCCCTACTGGGGGGCAGGCAGGGGGGGTCTGGGCCAGGTTGGTGGGCTGCCAGGGGCGGGGCAAGGCTCTGTACTGGGCCTTGGTAGATTCTGCCCCGCGCCCCCTCCTATCAAGTCCCTTTCTGCCCCCCTTATGAATGGCAGCAGCTGGGGAGGGGGTCATTGCCCTCTCTGCATGGCAGGGGTGGGGCAGGGAGGCCAAGGGGGCTAGATGGTCCCTTCTTGGGGTCCCGACCAGCTTGTGTCCATCGCAGTCCTGTCCCCCCTGCACCTGCCTAGACAGGATGGTGATGGGCATGGGGTTGATGTCTGTGTGTGCCCATATCCCTGTGTGTGTCCGGGCCTGTGTTCATGTGGGCACATGTCTGCCTCTGTGTGAACGGCCATGTGCAAGTCCGTGCCATGTCCCCGTCCATGCATGTGCTCACGTGCCTGTACATGTGTGAACCCATGTGAGTGCATGTTCCTGTGTGTGTCCACATGTGTGCCCATGTGCAAGTCCATGTGTGAGTTGGTGTGTTTGCCTGTATGCCCACCCATATTTGTGCTCATCCATGCCTGTGCCCATGTCCATTTGTGTGCCCATGGCCATGTATCTCTCCACACATGTGCCCATGTGCATGTCCATGCATGAGGCTGTGTGTGTCCTCATGTGCACATCCATGTGTCCTTGTCCATATGCATGCCCACGTGTGTCCCTGTGTATATGTCCCTGCATGTGCTTGTACATGCGTGTGCCTATATGTATGTATGTATGTGAGTCCATAGAAGTGTCCACATGTGTGTTCATGTGCCCATCCCTGCATGTGCCCACAGGCCCATGTCTGGGCATGTGTCCATGCGTGTGCCCATCCATGTATGTGGCTATGTAAAGTTGAGGCCTTGCATATGCCCACGTGCATGTCCATGCATGAATCCATGCATGTGCCCATATGTGCCGTCTATGTGCATGTCCATGCGTATGCCTGTGCATGCCCATGCCCACATGTGTCCCCATGTGCATGTCCCCTGTATGTGCCCATCCATGCATGTGCCCATGTACATGTGAGTCCATGTGGGTGTGTCCACATGCGTGCCTGTGGCCATGCACGTCTCCAAGCATGTACGTCCATGTGCATATCATCCACGTGTATGTGTCCACATGTGTGCCCTTGTCCACATGTATGTGCTTGTGTGCGTGTCTGTGTGTGTGCCCATTTATGTGTCCTTGCGTGTCCATCCATGCATGTGCCCATGTGAGTCCTTGCGGGCACATGTGCCCATGGTCATGGACATCTCCATGCCCATGCCACATGCATGTCCATGTGGGTGCCTATATACAGGTGCGTCCATAGCCACGTGTGTCTCCACGCGTGTGCCCACGCCCCGCACTGATCCCTCTCCCCCCACAGTGTCCTTCGTGCTGTCCCGCATGGCGGCCTGCGGAGGTGCAGGGGCCAAGAGCCGCCTGACAGTGCCGAAGCCGGTGTGGGACTTCCTGACGCAGCAGAGCCCGGGCAAGCTGGCGCGGCTGCGCGAGGCAACGCCCGTCAGCATCCTCATTGACGGTGAGACGGCCGAGCTCTATGTGCTGCAGCTTACAGCGCCCGCACCCGCACCTGCCCATGGCCTGTATGCCGCCCGCAAGGCCCTTAAGGCCCTGCTCAAGGAGACCGAGAAGGAGCTCAAGAAGGCCCAGCGCCAGGCTGAGCTGGGTGGCTGCGTGGCCCTTCTGGGCTCCCGGGCACCGCGGGGGACAGCCGCGGGCGTGGGCATGGGCCCGGCGGCGGGTCAGGGCCCGGGTGGTTCCGGGGAGGAGGAGCCCGAGAGCCAGTGCCCAATCTGCCTGGGCGAGATCCAGAACCGCAAGACACTGGAGCAGTGCCGTCATGCCTTCTGCGAGGGCTGCATCACCCGTGCCCTGCAGGTCAAGCGGGCCTGCCCCATGTGTGGGCGCTTCTATGGGCGCCTGGTGGGCAACCAGCCTGAGAATGGGCGCATGCTGGTGTCCAAGGACTCGGGGCTGCTGCTGCCTGGCTACGAGAAGTATGGCACCATCATCATCCAGTACGTCTTCCCGCCCGGCGTGCAGGGGGTAAGCCAGCACCCCCCTCCCAATGCCTGCCAGTGCCTCTCACTCCCAACCCGCAGCTCCCTGCCTCCCCCTGGCCTTGCTGGTGCCCCTCACTCCTGACCCCCAGCCCTTCACAGTCCCGCCCATGCCCCTCACTCCTGACCTGCAGCCCCCCTGCCCTCCACAGGCCTGCCTGTGCCACTCACTCCTGACCCTATGCCCCCCTTCAGCCTGATGGAACCCCACCCTCCCATCCGCAGGCCCCTGCCCACTTTCCCAGTCCTACTGGTGCCCCTCACCCCCAACCCGCAGCCCCTGCCTCCCCCAACCCTTGCTAATTTCTGTCCCCTCTCTGAGGACTCTCTCTATTCCCCTGATACCCTTCTTGGCCTTGGCAAAGCAATAGGCCCTATCCTGGATCCTGGTCTCTGAGGGTGTTGGGCGATGGGCAGACAACCAGGGGCAGGGGCATGATGCCTGTTGTGTTGGGCTGGTGGGGAAAATTGTCCCCTCCCCCAGCCTTGGGTGCTGGTGCCTGGGGTGTGGGGGTTTGTGTCAGGCCCTAATGCCCTCCTGCCCCCCCCCCCAGGCGGAGCATCCCAACCCGGGCGTGCGGTACCCAGGCACCACGCGTGTGGCCTACCTGCCCGACTGCCCTGAGGGCAACAAGGTGCTGGGGCTGTTCCGGAAGGCATTCGACCAGCGCCTCACCTTCACCATCGGCACCTCCATGACCACAGGCCGCGCCAACGTCATCACCTGGAATGACATCCACCACAAGACCAACTGTACCGGCGGGCCCCAGCTGTGCGTGGGGGGCACCGGGCTGGGGCATGGGTGGGAGTAGGGGGCACCAGGCTGGGGGGTCTGGTGTGGGGGGCATGGAGGGTGCTGGGGGCCTGGCACCAGTCTGACCAGTGCTCCCTCCTGCCCACAGGTTCGGCTACCCCGACCCCACGTACCTCTCCCGGGTGCAGGAGGAGCTGCGGGCCAAGGGCATCACTGAGGATTGACCCCCCCACAGGATCCCTCCCGGCTTGCGGGGCACAGGGGGGCAAGAGCCTGGGGGCAAGGGGCATGTGTGTCTGCGTGCACACGGGGGCAAGGGGGGGAGCTGTGTGAACCAGGGCTGCGTGCAGTAGCGTGTGTCAAGCGGTGTGTATGTGTTGTCCCAGGTGCCTGGGTGCTGTGTGTACACGTGTGTGTGTGTGTGTGTGTGTGTGTGTGTGTCTGTCTCAGATGCCTGGGTTCTGTGTGCATGTGATCCTGGACTCCTGGGTTCTGTGTGCGCATGTGGGTGTGCGTGTCAGACACTTGGGTTTTGTGTGTGGGTGTTTGTGTGTGCGTGTGTCCCGGATGCCTGGGTTCCATGTGTGCCCACGCGTGTGCGAATCAGCCCGCGTTGAGAGGTGGGGGGTATGTGCATGCTGGTGAGCTCCCGGCAGCATGTGCCTCTGTGCGTGCATGCGTGAAAGGAGCCGTGTGTGTGTGCGTGCAGAGCCCTGCCCCCGCTCCCCCAGCCCCAGGACATCGCCCTCGCCAGACCCCCATCGTCGCCGTGGCCTCGTGGCCTGGACGTGCCCCCCCAGTGGATGGACATGCCCCCCCCGAACGTCCCTCCCCTTCCCCCCACCCAAACCTCCCCATTTTGGGCCCAGTCGTGTCAGTTTTGGGGTTTTCTGACTGTCCGAGGAGCTGGGGATGCCCCCAATAAACATATGCGACGTGGCGGGGACCCAGTGTGTGGGGGGAACACACTTATCACGCTCATGTGTGGATCCTGGAGGGGAACCCAGGCATCTGGGTAGCCCCTCTACCCCCGTGCTGGGTGCCTGACGCTTCCCAGGTGGGTGTCAGCCCTAGGGGTCAGTGGGACCCTCCATTGTTGAGGGGGTAGTTTGGGGGGGCACAATGGGGTGACCTCTAGGGGGTGGCAGAATGCCTGGGTTTATCCCAGCAAGGGGAGGGAGGAGGGTGCATGGGGAGCCCAGATGCCTGGGTTCTGTGCCCAGCTCTGGGATGGGAGGAGGGGCTGGGGGGGCGCTGCTGGCTCTCAGCCAGCCGCAGAGAGACTTTTGTGGGGCTGGGCCCAAGGGGTTTAGGGACATGGGGTGGGTGTACAGGTTCCCCCCCCAACCATGGGACAGGCTTGGCCTGGATCTGCACCCTCCGCTTGGGCCTTCCAGGCTCCCCCAGCACCTGGGTCAAGTCCTACCCCCTATTGGGTGGTGGGGGGGTGGCTGTCTGCCAGCTCTCCCCCATCCCAATCCAGTGCATTCCTCTCCTCTCCCCTGGCTCTGGCGTGGGAGGCCTGGGTTTGATTGGAACTACTGAAAAACAAGGCCCTGGCGCCATCCCCCATTCGGAGGGGTGGTGCCTGGGTGGGGGGGCTGGGCCCAAGGCATTTAGGGGTGGTGGGTCCTGGGCCTGTTTCCTGGCAGTGCCAGGAGCACCCCCCACAGCACAGGGGGCCCTGTGGCTTGGCACTAGGCAGAGATGGACCAAGCCATGGCCTGGAAGGGAGACGTGGGGGAGGGCCGGGGGGGGGAGGGGCCGG